AATTATGTGGACATAGGCTCCCAAATTTGTAACAATTTTTTTTACTAAATCGTTTACATGCCTAAATCTCATGGCCGGCCCTGAATTGTGTAAATATGATTCTAGTGTATAGCATGTTACTATTACCTACCTGGAACATTATTCACATCGAGTCTCATGATCTTCCCAAGCAAAGATCTCTTGTTCTGCGCAAAGTTATGTGGATCACCTTTGCTTCCTCCATCTCCCATCATGAAATACAAGTACCCATCTTCAGGTCCAAACAAGATCTGTCCACCGTGATGAGATGTAAAAGGAAGACCCATCGTAAAGATTCTTCTTACCTCCACCGGTTTTACATAAGTCCCTGAAAACATATCAATAACGTCTCAGTGACACCAACTACTATAAACTGATGAAAAGTAAGGCGGAGAGTAGTTTGATACCATTGCTAAAGAACTCTGATACGACGCTGTGGTATTGACATGGGGTTCCACCGTCATCAGAATCTAGCTTTGAAGGGTCACATTCAACATCAGAGTTGCATGCACATCTTCCAGAACATTCTGGCCACTTAACTCTATCGCAGTTGAAAGAAACAAAGAATCTACCGTTTCTCAAGAAGTCAGGATGAAAAGCTATTCCCAACAGACCAAGCTCAGCATCAAAGTGAACTTCGTCAGTAAGATCAAGAAACAGATTAGTCTTGTCTATTTTCAAAACTTGTCCAGATCCTTGAGATGGAACTGTCGCCAAGTATATCACCCCGGCTTGATCAGAGAGTAACACGCGGTTAGAGCTGCCATCAGGATGAGGTTCCATGTTAAGGAAAGACCCATTTGAGAGCTTCTCAAGACATATGCCTGAAGGAGATGGTGGACCAGTAACTTTTGACATGTTAAATGAAACCGCCTGGCCATTGAAGCACACAGAGGATTCATCAGAAGATCCACCAAAAGTCTTACAGAAATCATTTCTTGATTTCCATATTTCAGATATTGTGGAATTGACTCCTCCATCTCCAGCTTGAGATGCAAAAGGAGTGTTGGTTACGGAGAGATTCTGACATTCACTCCAAAACCTTGCGCAGAAATCAATGTCGGCTAGCGATTGTGTTGACTTGTCAGAAGAAACTGTGGAGTTGCAGAGCACAGGGACTTGTCTAGATTCTGACTCAGCACGGAAAAGCTCTGCTGCGAAAGGATCACACTTCTGCAACCATAGAAAGAATCATCAAGATAGATCTTAAAATCGTTATCCATTCACCATCAAAGGCTAAAGCAGATGAACATTTGTGTAGGGGCCTTACCGAGCAAAGTAATGACTTGAGAAGCGAAGAACAGCTACCAGATACATTGACTGCTTTGAACTGTTTCTGCAACTTCAAGTCCTCATGAGAGTTGCAGCATACACTTCCATTGAATTGACAAAAAGCGAGCGGTTGCTTCAGATTAAACGGGGCAGCTGACCAAAACAGTTTCCCAAAAAAAATCAGAAATTGAAAAAGAAACTGCACAAACACACAAACTTACCATCAATCTAATCAATAGGAGAAACAAAGGAAAAGAGACACCTACTCAAATCATTACATAATGGATGTGACAAAGATTCTCTGGCAATAATCAACAACACAAGGCAAGAAAGCAAGACTGCTATTGAACAGAGAGAACCCATTTCTCCATCAACAAGTAATGAGAGTTACTTTTAGGATCTGATATTAAAAATAACTCATACAGGTTGCTTCCACAGCTATTTAACTCTTACCAAGACAGAAAGCAAATAGAAGACCATAGCTCCAGACAAGAACTGATGATATCATATAAAAAATAAATGGAGATCTTTCAGTTGACAACTAGCAGGATCTTTAATTTTGTAATCTGGAAATGGGGGTTCGCCAATTAAATAATATTAGAATTAATTATTGCCGCAAACAAATGTTGACTTAAATAAGATGCTAAAAATAACTTTGATTTTCAGAACTAAGAGCATGTGTGGCTCTCTCCCAAAAATCTTTAGCCATTTTTTATTAATTTTTTGTACTTTTTGAATAGTTAAGGACCTTAATCCGTTTTTCAAGTACAATGGTGTTCTCCAATCCGGAATCCTTATGAATAAAATAATTATTTTTTTAAAAAAGAAAAATAAAATTTTATTTATTAAATGATAAAAAAAAAGAAAATACAACAATATTTTATTAAAACTAAAATTTTATTAATTGCATTATAAAAAAAGATACAATAATTAAAATAAACATATAAAAGACACTAATTAATTTCATCACCAAACTTATTCCAAATATAGAGGACATAGGTTTAAAAACATTTTCAAACAAAGGAACAACAACATAGAAGTCATCCATTACAAGAACAAAGGAACAACAACAACAATAGCAAGACAAACATGCATCATATAGGAAAAGACGAGGAAGTTGAGGCACCATTCTTGCGGCTCAAGTAGTTGGTCAGTAAGTCAGTACACTCTTTCCTTTCCGGACATACACACAGCAATGGAGAAGTTTCCCCATCTCCAACCACATCGAAGACAAATAAGTCTCCCACAATGCTTCTGTTATCAACACAAAACCTTCTCCAGCCTCTTCCGATGTAGAACATGCCACGTGCTTCATTGAATCGCAAGCTGACTGACCATGAGTTCCCCTCTTTGTTCACCAGTTTCGCTTCCCGGCAATGTTTGTTCAAAGCAGTACACATCTTAGCCTCCACAGGAAGATGCTGGAAACAAAGAAGGTAAAGACACATAACATATCACAAGTGTATTTTCACGAAAATTTTAAATTCAGACACATAAATAAACTACTCACAAGTTTGTCTTCGGAGAGATTTGACGGAGTGACCTCAGCCAAAAAACAATAGTCAAATGAGAAAGGAGTGACCTCTGCACCATCCGCAGCAACATCTTGTGTATATTGAATCTCAGTAAAACTACGACCAAAAGGAGTCACATGAAAGATCATGTCTCCTTCCTTTTTGAACACGACAATGTCACCGATGCGAAGGGAGTGTGCTTTGGCGAAGGCTTTCCAACCTCCGGTGAGTCTTCTTCCTTCTTGTTTAACTTCCTAAGTTTTGTGTGAAGCGTCCGATTGTAGTGTCCACTTTTCTTGGTTCGGCTTGCCTTCTATGTATTTTGAGTAGAAGGCAATTGGTATTGTCTACAAGTGAACAAATGAGAAGTTAAGCAAATGACATAAAAAGAGGAGAAATAGAGAGCGTGTGTATACCACTCCATCGTAGAAACCAGGAAGCAGAGGCTTCAAAAAGTGAGGTTCATGCTCATACGCCATCTGCAAACAAGAAAGCAAAATGAAACGCAAATGGTAAAATCATCAAATCAAACCGATTAACAATCACACACACATTGAACCATGCCTTTTCGAAACACAAAGCAAAAAACAACAAACAATAGTCGAACCAAATCTATAAGCAACAACAACAAGGATGTGATTGTTAATCGGTTTGATCACACAAATCCTAAAATCCTAAAATCAAATCAAACCGTTTAACAATCACACACACATTGGTATGTGTCTTTTCGAAACCCTTATCGACTAACCTAATCCCCAAATCAATTGAAAACTCAATTGAAAACACAAAACTTTCCGAAACACAAAGCAAAAAACAACAAACAACAAACAATAATCTTGTCCCATGAGTTAACCTGAAAAAAATCATGTACGAGTAGTAAGTGTTATGAAACTAATCTATTAACAAACAATAATCTTGTCCCAAAAAGTCGATTGAAATCCCAATCCTTCGAAACCCTAATTTTAAAAACACAAATCCATTGAAAACGATACAATAGAACCGTAAATTGACATGAAAACAACGACGGACCTAATCTAAAACCATAAATCGGTAAGATAACTCTTCGATTTACCTTGTTCTCCGGATGAATCGAAATCGCCTTTGCTCTCGAGTACCTTTTTTCTGGTTTTCGATCGAAATGAATTTTTTTTCCGACAATACCGAACCGGTATCAATGATGGACGAACCACAATGCGCCAAGTAGCTAAGGATCAACGAAAATAAATCCTTATTTTCGGACTGATCCTTAAGGATTTAAGGAAAAATAATGTTAAACAATTGCTTAATCCATCGGGGGAAGGGATAAGGACTTGCACGTACCCCCGTTGCACATGGTCTAATAAGTCTCTCCAAATCTTAAAAACTTGGGAAAAAGATTCTCTAACCTCTTCATGACTTTCAACTATGGTGATGTTCAGAGTTCAGACCTACTAAAATCTTATTACATGCACCAGCAATGATAGGGAGAACAGAGAAGTGAAGAAGTGATGAAAAAAGGTAAAGGGAGAAGGTACAGGAAACACAATAACTGGTTACGCTGCGTTTAAGGTTTGGCCATATACTAAGAATGAGCGTTTCACAGTCAAGTCTGGTTATCATTTTAGCATTATTCAGGGCTCTTACTATGAGGATCAGTCACCTCCACTAGCAAGTTTTTTCTGACTTGGCAAAAGATGTTTGGAAAGTTGACACTTCCCAAAATCAAACATTTTCTGTGGAGGTAATATCCAATGCTTTGCCATTAATGGATAATCTCCGTCGTCGTCACGTTGTTGTTACTTCACAATGTTTTCGCTGCTAAGCTGATCTAGAAACAACAAATCACATGTTCTTTCAATGCTGTTATGCCCAAGGAATTTGGAGAGCAGTACATTCTCAAGATTTGCATCCCCGAAAATGGCTATGTTACCTTGTCCAACTTCTTATACTCGCGACCAAGACAAAACCCTTTTAATGAACTTTGAGATATGATCTCTCTTTCCTTATCCCACTCTTTTGTTTACCACTCATATCTGTCACTGGTTTGCATCAGTTGTTGTTTTTCATGGCTGTCCTTCACATCATCTACAGTTAATGATTGGCAGACTCAACGTACGACAATCGTGACTACCTTTTCCTAAAACCTTCCTTTCCTAACTATATTCATAATTCACTGCTAGAATTTTGTTTTCTACTAGACTTGTGCAGTAATATGATTGCCTCGCCAGTGTTACCAACTAGGATGTATGTATAAAGCTATATCATCTAGAGCTCCAAGACTACATTACACATCAAGAGAAAAAGTGATGAGATGCATAACATGTCGACCCAAATAGCTATAATAGCTAAATGGCTTCACATTAGAGCGTGTAACTGCGTCGTATTACTGCCAGAGTCTGTCACAAAGCATGAAACGAATTCTGATTAAAAGAAAGGACTAAATTTTCCTCGTTATCACTCTCGTCGCCTCCTCCAAACATGGAAGCCATCTTCATGGCTAGATTAGCAGCAATATCCCTCCTCTGGAAATCAGGCATGAATCGCAAGTTGTCACGGATGTTCCCTATTTCTGACATCAACTGTTTCACGTCTTCCAACTCATACAATTTTCCCAAAGGTTTCTCATCTACTGCTCTATCAGTCTCACTAGTCTGTATCACTGAAGATTCATCCACAACTTTCTTTGGATTCAATATATTATTTTCTACCTCAAGTGTTTCCCGTGAGGTGGATCCGCCAGCATCATCTGCGTATGAACCCGCTGAAACCCATCTCTCGTCGATATCTTCCCATGGATCGGATGATAACACTTCATACTCCAATTCATATTCTGATTCTTCTTCTGACAAGTCTGACAAGGAGGGGAATACAAAAATGAGTCCCCCCTCATAATATATGGGAGAAGAAAAACGGAAGGAGCAAATAATAACCTTCTTCACCATGAGGTAACAACACCGGCTCATTAATCTTATCACCCCCAGATTTGAGAATCATCCCAGGCCACATATGTGCCGAAAGAGCACCAAACAGACGTTCAACCCCTTGACAATCCCCATCCACTGATAAACCTACAAACATTAGCATTCCATTCATTTTCTCATTCCACAATGTGAAAAATTCTTAACAAATTCTTACACTTGTCAAAATCAGGATTAGATGCACAAGCCTCAATGAACTCAATGTTGTTGTCGCGGCACCAGTCAAGACATGTCCCCCTGATGATATCCAGTGATGTACTATCGTGGCCGTTCCCCAACAACCTACTTCCTTCACTTTCGGAGATCCCAACAAACTCATCCTCATCTGTTGCTTTCGAAATACGTCTTCTATATTCATCGTGAGCTGGGTGATGAGGGAAAAGATCAACTTTGTTCCCAATACACAACAATATATCAAAATGATCGATGTCCTCCGCATGATTAGAAACCCAGTCTTGAAGAGCAACAAGAGTTGAAACCTGCAAAACTAAACTAAGGTGAGTGAGAACAAAGAGGAGTCACAACACAAAGGCGTATGTATGTATGAATCTCGAACCTGACTCAAGTCGAAGACCATAACTAACGCAACAAGGGGATGTGACCGAGGGAGAGAGTAGTCTTCGTCATCGCGAATATGAGATATGGATACAGATACATCCGCAGTGTAATACTTGGTGTTAATCGTCCAGCTGTCCACACATAAAACTTTAATTACTGAATTTCTTCTTAAAAGAGTAAATGGATTTGGGTGTATTATTTATTTACAACCGTCCTTACTCATGAACTTCTTCTGTTTGAGATGGTGAATCCTCAAAATCGACAGAGATCAATCCTGTGAATTAAAATCCCCACAAAAATGAATGATACAGACAAAACGGAAACGCTAGACTAGATCCAAAACAAAAAAGAGAGAAGCACGTACTAGAGAGAAGAGTGCGTTTGCCGACACCAGAGGATCCGACGACAAAAACTCCCGGTCGTCTGCCTTCTTCCATCTCCGCCAATGATCGGAAACAGACGCAGTTTTTGATTCAAGCTTGAGGTGAAAATCACAAGGCAAGCCCAATCAGGCCCAGAGATTCTTATAACCACTTTTATAATACCCAGCACAAAGGCCCAGTAAAACTAAAACATACATATTACGAAAGCTGTAAAAATTCTGAAAAGCTATGGAGGAGGCTCTCGTGCTGCTAACAAACGTCTTAACGGCGTAGCTTCTTTTGGGACTGATGAAACGCTTAACCAAGATTCAACTTGTATATTTCCATATGGTTTGCTAACAATAGAACACCCAAGTCGTTGTAGTATAGTGGTAAGTATTCCCGCCTGTCACCCGGGTGACCCGGGTTTGATCCCGGCAACGGCGTTTCTTTTTTTCCTACTTAGTATTCATCCCTACTATTCGACCTATTAATCCAATTAGAACCTAGTAGTCATTTTTCTGTGAAAATTTTGGCATATGCTAAATATATTTAACATTTTAAAATAAATCTATAATCTTAATCCTCAAATTTAACTAAAAATATACTTCTATAGACATAATAAAATTGGAAATACAAAATTCTTTGTCAGAAAATGGAAATATATACTTATAAAACATTACTGCTCATCTATTTCAAATACTGAACTAAATAAGTTTATTGGATTTCGCATGTATTATATTCTGTTCAACCACTCAAAATGTTGTTAGATTTGATTGGTATGCATATAGAATAGAGAAAGATTATCTACAGCTATCTACATCTTCTTAAAAAAAAAAAGAAATCGAGATTTTAAGAAATTTATTTTTCGGTAAATATTAAATAGATGATAAAAAATTACATAGTCAAAAACACTTCCAAATTCCACGCCTAGTATTGTGCAAGTTCTTTGGACAACAATTATTTACGTCTCCATAAGTAAATCACTTTTTTCTTGTTCGGAATATTATTGTGTTTTACACAAGAAAGAATAAAAAGCTAACGTTTGGTTCAAAAAATATGTCAAAGACACCAGAGAAACAAGAACTGCCACTAGAAACGAGTCCTTACACAAAGTACGAGGATATAGAAGATTACAAGAAGAACGCTTATGGAACTTCAGGTCACCAAGAGGTTAAGCCTGGCCAAGGCGGCGGCACAACTGACGCACCAACCCTCTCCGGCAGTGCACCTCCTTCCGTCATAGATTCAGCTAACCAACAAGCGAAGAAATGAATCACTCTGTTATAACAAAACAAAACACACAAACACGTTTCTCTTGATTATGGTTTCTTTACTATCCAGTGTGATTTATAATTATTTGATGCCTTGTGAAAATTGACTTGTTTATTTTTGGTTTCTCTTAATCCGTTGTTATTTTTTTTTGTCAAAGTGTTAATGCATTGTTATGATCCAGTCGCATCAATAAATAGCTGTCTAAAATATTTGGCCATTTAAACGCAAAAAGTATAAACATAAATATTGTTCCGGAAAATAGATGTCTAAGCTTGATGAATTTTGGGGAAAAATAGATGTTGTAAGCAACATTTTAATCAAGTTCTTGGGTGAGAATATAAGCTCCCTAAATATATAAAAAGCCATTTTAATTTATAGAAATATATAGAAGTGAGTTAAAATAAATTTGACTCTAAAAAAGTACTATAGAGGTAAATATAAAAAAGAGAGGTTTTTACTTGTGATTGGATAGTAGGATTTATTGGAGGAAAAAAAAGGATTTATTGGAGTGATAATACAATTCATATAGAAAGTCCCCCTCTTCCTTAACAGAATGATAAACTATCTTGAACGTTGCTGTACAGCCAGGCGTTTACAAAACTATATTGAACGCAGTGACGTGTTAGCAATATTTACTAGTGGAGTTGCAACGGATATACGTAAACACACACAAAAAAACACTCAATGGTGGTTTAGGAGCATTATTCATCCAAAATCATTATATTACAGCGGTTACAAAACAATGGTTCACTAACCTTAAAATCGATGCCTTGTTGTAGCTAAATTAGACGAAGGATTAGCCGATGAAGATGCAGTGACTTATTACCGTTTTGAATCATACATTTCCGACCAACCATGTTACCAAGTGAATGAGTGATTCTGTCGAGAACAAATATATATATACTCTTTTTTTTCTAGTTTATCCTTCTTAGTTCTCACCAATCGCTGAATATTCGTTACTAAAAGAAAATAGTTCACAAATTTATTGTCAACATTGATGAAATGTAAGGCTAGCATGGTAAACAAAGCACTTGCTTGAGACCACATGTTGAATATAGCTTTATCAATTTAGGATCAAAAACAAAACTTAAATACATGTTATAATATTTGATATTTCTAATAAACTGACTATAAGCGACCGTAGCCGTATAAACCGTCTTCTTCTAAATGCCAGAACCGTAGATAGCCACTTACTGATTTATCTCCCTGAGTGTAACAAAAAGGTCTAAGACGGCATGGGGATAACAGTCGACGTGTATGATCACGATACTGACTCTACGCACCAGATGCTTCTACAAAAACTTTCCAAGCGTGGATCCTATATTCTCAGTGGTGGGTGGTTAATGGATTTTGTCATCAGGAGGGTTTTGAAGAAGAAAGATGAGATTGGAATGTATTGGGATCGTTCTGATTAGAAGCTTCATTTCAGCGTGCTTTTTCGTCACCAACTAGAGTCAGGTCTGGTTCTATTCTTGCAGTACCATCTCAGGCACCAACAGGAGTTGTCGCAGGTTCTGTCCTTGCAGATCCATCTCAGGCACCAATAGGAGTTAGCTCAGGATCTGTCACAATAGCATCCTACTTTCCCCTCCTTCCATATCCATAAAACCCTTACTGGGTGTGCTAGTCGTTGTTGTTGTTGCTTATGGTTGTCTCGTAAACATATTTTCCTTTATAGCATCATGTGGTTTCTTATGCAAGTTATAAACAAAAACATTGTTTTTTATGATTAAAAAACAATTAAAAATAAGTTAAGTTAAAACGTCATAAACAAAGAAATATATGTAAGAAATTAGGACAAAAATCAAATAAATAATTCAAAGATTAGGACTAAACCCAAGAGATCACTTCAAGAACAAATTCAGAGCCTAGCGACTCAGTTTATATAGACAGTGTCACTATGTCTAGGGGGTCTATCATGAACCGTACCTGGTTTGAATCTCGACGCTTCATGTCTAGCCAGCTCTGGAGGAACCGCACTGTTGCTCCGAACAAGCATCTGCTTCAAATCATAAAAGACATCAGTATCATGAAGAGTCAAAAACGAAGTAGCAACACCGCTTTTCCCAGCACGTCCTGTACGTCCGATACGATGTGTATACATCGCTATAGGTTTAGGCATGTCATAGTTTATGACGTGAGCCACATCAGTATCAATTCCACGGCCTACAACATCTGTTGCAACAAGAACGTTGTATCTCTTTGCTCTGAACCCTTCTAAGCTGATTTCTCTCTGCTCTTGCGACTTCCCACCGTGCACAGTTGTAACACGGTACCCTGCCTTGTCCAGATTCTTAGCAATAGAGTCGCATTTTATCCTTGTGTTGACAAACACAAAGGCGGTTTTATCGCCGAGCTCATCCAGCAGTTTCTGTAATCTGAAGAACTTGTCAGATTCTTTCATCATAATCACATGCTGTGAAATCAAATCCGTGGCCTCTCCTGCATTTCCAATGGTGACAACGACAGGGTTCCTCAAGTACTTCCTAGCTAGCCGCTCTACACCAGAAGGCATTGTAGCACTGAACATATACGTGGTTCTGTAAATCTTCTTCTCGTCAAGCTCCTCTTCTTCGTTCTCCGGTTTCAAGTTACTTGAAGGCATCGCATCTAACACAGCAGCAACCTGAGGCTCGAAACCCATGTCTATCATCCTATCTGCCTCATCAAGAACCACGTAGTTACACTGGTTCAACACAACAAACCGACTCTCAAGGCAATCAATCAAACGACCAGGAGTAGCAATCACAATCTCACACCCTTGTGCTAACTTAAACCCCTGTTCCTCAATAGACTGACCACCCACTACTAAACTCACCCTAAACCCTAGATAATCCGCAAACTTAACAGTCTCCTTCTCAATCTGCTGAGCAAGCTCACGAGTAGGTGCCAAAACAACAGCATAAGGACCATCAGTTTTATTCTCTTCACTCATAGGCGGCAACCTAGAGATGTAAGCTAACATGGGCAAGACAAAAGCATGAGTCTTTCCAGACCCAGTCTTTGCGATACCGATAACATCGCGCTGTTGCAGCCCTAGTGGTATAGCTGCCATTTGAATAGGAGTAGGTTCCTTGTAACCAGCTCTCTCCACAGCTTTCAAAAGCTCGGAACTTAGCTTACTCTCTTCCCACCTCCTCATGGGAGGAGGAATCTTGGAACCTTTGTAAGAGATGTTGAAATCTTCTCTAAAGATGCGCCAATCTCTTTCACTCATCTCATCTAATCTCTTATCACTCCAATGCCTATCAACCCTCATGTCAAACGAGTCATACGATTGTTCTCTATGGTGCTTTTTCTGCTCGCGGCGGTCCATGCCAGCGCGGAAGCCTCTACCGAAGAGAAGCTGAGCCTCGTGAGGGTTTTGGTAGAGAGTGTTTGTGTCTGTTGATGTGTCTTCTGTGTTTTCCCAGTCGAAGGAGAAACGGAGCTTCTCGCTTGGTTTTATGACTCTCTTCTTTGGCTTCTTGCTTCCCAGGTACTGCGCTTTGATGGCGTCGAGCTCCTTCTCACGCTCTCGCTCGAGTAGCTTCTCGGCACGCGCCTTCTCGCGACTTTTGGCTTCTTCTTCACGCTTTTGATCTTGGATTCGCCTCTCTGGATCACGATCTCGTTTACGGCGGCTATGCTCTCGGTATTTACTGCGATTGCCGTTTGTGTTTTCGGTTTCGGGGGTGGAGTGATCGGAGATTTGATTTTGGCGGAGTTTTAGGGCTAATTCTGCACGGTGGGATTTGGTGAGGAAGACGGGTTTCTTAGCAATGGCGGAGTCGAACGAAGATGCGTTGATATCGTTGATTGATCGCTTCATCGGATCGGTGGTGAAGAATCAAAAGGTATTCACTTGGTAGATTGCAAGAGGGGGGGGGCGGAGAGATCTAACAACGAAAACCGTCTTCTCCTTTCCTCTTGTGAGTTCCTAATTTCTTTTATTTATAGCAGGGTGGGTTTAGGCGGTTAGGCCCAATAGTTTTGTGGCATTTTTGTGCTTTCCTTTAAAAAAAAAACATTTATTTTTCACTTTTTCAAAATTTAGAAAGCGCTGGGTGGAGCGGAACATTATGATCCACGGACAAAAAAAGAACATTACACCTAGCCTGAGTTTTGAATCAAACCAAAATCTCCGGTTAGGTTTAGTTCAGTAATCAGCTAGATTATTTTTCCAAAATAGCTGAATCGACCAAATCTAGATTTTGATCCCCACTATCAAAATATGAGATAATTTTCGAGCAAAAACTTTATATAATTGTATTTTCTTTTAATTGGAAGTGTGAAGATGAAATCCTATGTAAAAACTTCAGTTTTGTTGTGATTGATCTTGAAACGTTCTTGTTGAGAACTAAGGGAGCATACACGATCTGTTGACCCCGTGTTCACCGCACCACTCTGTTAACTAAGAGTGGCTCATATACTTCACCGAAGCTGGGATTCAATCAGCAACTTGCTATCTTCAACCGAGAGTTCACAATACGAACCACTTTACAACTTTGACCTCTCTTTCTCGATCTTGTGTTAGCTAGAATCTAATCTAACAACCTATATCAGTTCAGCTTAACACCTTATCATAAAGCTAAACTGACTCTTATAATTTGGGTCAGTTAACCCAATACACAAGCACAAACCGCATACGTATTATCTAATCAACAGAGCCGATACCATTGACTTAATACATTCACTAACCAGACTAAACCAAATCTTAACTAATGTTTAATCAATTGAACTTAAAACCGGTCTAAGACTATGTCTATGAAGAAGACGGGTTTCTTAGCAATGGCGGAGTCGAACGAAGATGCGTTGAGATCGTTGATTGATCGCTTCATCGGATCGGTGGTGAAGAATCAAAACGTGGTAGGTTGCAGGAGAGGGGGGGGGGAGATCTAACAACGAAAACCGTGAATTCCTAATTTCTTTTATTTATAGCAGGGTGGGTTTAGGCGGTTAGGCCGAATAGGTTTTTTTGTTTTTAACAACTATTTTATTTATATATAATGTCAAATTACGATAAATACAAAAAATAACAAAAATACAATCAATTGCAAAGATAAGAGAAAACATTATAATACAAAGATTAAAATCTGAAGAACACTTCTTCTGATCCATCATGCTTCTTCTTATGCAACACCATTTGGTTATCTTCTTTTTGAAAATATTCCCAATTTTTTGTCGAAAATTTCTTTGTTGTATAATATTGGTCAGATTCCAAATAGGATCTATATATATTTTCTGAGAAAAAATCCAATCTACTGATTTTTTTCAAAAGAAACTGAAACTGCCAATTTTCAACGATTATAAGAACATCGCAATACAACAAAGAAATTAAATTTCCAGCGAGAAACCACTCATAAAAATTTTGAATTGTAATCTTCAAAAACTTTAAATACCTTTGTGGTTTCATCACTTCCAGATCCGTGACGATGATACACCATGGTGTTTTCCAAGGGATTTGTTTCCAAAGTAGAGCGGTTAGGATAAGTTCCTTACCACTTGATCTTTGATTCAAATTGGATTTGCTGTCATCGATCATAGTCACGGAGACTATACCAGATATTGTAATGGTGGATTGAACAAGAGAAAAATTAAACATCAATCCACCATAGATGAAACTCTTTGCAATGAAAGAGAAGAATAAAAAGCAGAATATAATATAGAGATTGATCATGATTAGATTAAATTTGAGTAATTAGAGAATTCCTTCTTCCCCATCGCCATTGACGTCGCCAAACACAAGGGGGAGGGAAGCGGTTTTTTTTTTTTTTTTTTTTTTTTTAATCTTTGTTTGCTCTTATGTTAGGCCCAATAGTTTTGTGGCATTTTTGTGCTTTTCTTTTAAGAAAAAAACATTTATTTTTCACTTTTTCAAAATTTAACGTGTTGGAAAGCGCCGGGTGGAGGAGCATTATGATCCACTGACAGAAAAAGAACATTACACCTAGCCTGGGTTTTGAATCAAACCAAAATCTCCGGTTAGGTTTAGTTCAGTAATCAGCTAAATTATTTTTTCCAAAATAGCTGAATCGACCAAATCCAGATTTTGATCCCCACTATCAAAATATGAGATAATTTTTTGAGCAAAAACTTTATATAATTGTATTTTATTTTAATTGGAAGTGTGAAGATGAAATCCTATGCAAAAACTTAAGTTTTGTTGTGATTGATCTTGAAACGTTCTTGTTAAGAACTAAGAGAGTATACACGATCTGTGGACCCCGTGTTCACTGCACCACTCTGTTAACTAGGAGTGGCCGCCATACTTTACCGAAGCTGGGATTGAATCAGCAACTTGCTATCTTCAACGGAGAGTTCACAATCCGAACCACTTTACAACTTTGACCTCTCTTTCTCGATCTTGTGTTAGCTAGAATCTAATCTAACAACCTATATCAGTTCAGCTTAACACCTTACCATAAAGCTAAACTGACTCTTATAATTTGGGTCAGTTAACCCAACACAAGCACAAACCGCATACGTATTATCTAATCAATAGAGCCGATACCATTGTCTTACTACATTCACTAACCAGACTAAACCATATCTTAACTAATGTTTAATCAATAGAACTTAAAACCGGTCTAAGACTATGTCTATAACCTTCAAATCTCCTCCTTAGACAAAGTCTTATCCTCATCATAAGCTTGGATAACCTTAGTAGCAGACTCGAACTGAGAGTACTTAGAAAACATTTACCTAACATCTCTTTAAGAAACTTGCACCAGCTCCTCCTCGAAGTTCTTCACCGGACCTCACTCTTGAGTCCTTGACTGGACTCTACGAACTCCTTCTTCAGTCTTTTGAAATGCGAAGCATCTTTAATGCTTCTCGTAACTTATACACTGGTAACACCTTCGTAAATATATCAACAGGGTTATTTGCAATAGCAATCTTCAAGACTTTTACTTCTCCCACCTTGATAAGATCTCGAATAAAATGATACTTGGTAGCTTCATGCTTTGTTCTTTCATGGAACACTGCATTCTTGGACAAGGCTATGGCACTCTGGGAGTCACAATATACTTCAATAGTGTTCTGAGGGAAACCCAACTCTTCTGCAAAGCGTTTTAGTCATACTCCCTCTTTTACAGCTTCTGAAAGTGCAATGTACTCCGCCTTGGTAGTTGATAGCGCTACGACCTTTTGAAGTGATGATCTCCAGCTCACATGGTTTCCTCCAGTAGTAAAAATCATTCCAGTTGTAGACTTACTTTGATTCAAATCCTCTGCATAATCCGAATCACAATAACCTCGTACCACAAAATCTCTTTTCTTCTTGAAACTCAATTTTGTATCAACATAACCTTTGATATATCTCATAGCCCATTTCACTGCTTGCCAATGTTCTCTCACAGGCTTAGACATGAATTTACTGATCACTCCAACTACATGAGCTAAGTCTGGACGAGTTCTCATCATCGAATATATTATGCTACCAACTGCATTCTGATAGAGAATCTACTTCATGTACTCCTCCTCTTCCTTATATTCTTCATCCGTAGGAGTCCTCAAATTGAAGAGTGCACCAAGTGGAGTTGAGACTGCCTTGCATTGATCCATATCAAAATTCCCTAAGACCTTCCACAAATACTCCTCTTGTGACACAAATTACTCTCCTTTAGCCTTTGTCTCTAGTGATTTTCATACCGAGAATCTTTTTAGCATCTCCTAGATCCTTCATATCAAATTCTGACCCCAATTCAGTCTTCGCCTTCTGAACTTGATTCTTATCACTCGATGCTATAAGTATATCATCTACATACAGTAACATGTATACATACACTCCTTTTGCACTCTTCCTGAAGTAAACACACGAGTCGTAGTCACTCCGTATATATCCCTTTGCGCGTACAAAGTCATCGAATCACTTATTTCACTGTTCTGGGCTCTGCTTCAAACTAGATAAACTCTTCTTCAAGGCTCTGCTTCAAACTAGATAAACTCTTCTTCAATTTGCACACTTTATCTAGATACCTTTTATCCACAAACCCTTCTGGCTGTTCCATCACTATAAACTCATCAAGATTCCCGTGAAGGAACGTCATTTTCACGTCCATTTGTTGTAACTCCGTATCGAAATATGCCACAACAGATAAAATGTATCTAATAAACACATACTTCACAACAGAAGCAAAAATCTCTTGATAATCTACTCCTTCCTTTTGTGAATGTCCTTTAGCAACTAATCTCCCTTTATACCTCAGTGGTTCCAATCCTGCTATGCATGCTTCTCTCTTGAAGATCCGTCGACACCCAATGGCCTTCTGATCTTTAGGTCTGTCTATAAGGTCCCATGTTTCATTTGCTTCTAATGAAGTCATCTTTGCAAACACTGCTTCATGCCACTTATCGCTATATGGATCCATCATTGCTTTTTGATAGAATTTTGGTTCTGTAGTAGTATCTTCTGACAACAAAACTATATAACACACAAATTTATCTTTTCTGTCTGTAACTTCATACTCGTAATCCAATATCCTTGCTGGAGGTCTGACATTTCTTCTTACTCTGTCTCTTGTAAGTTGATTATCCTCTGAGGTAGACTCTGCAGCAGTAAACTGACTTTTATTTGTATTAGAACTGGACTGGCCGTCTGTTGTATCTTCTCCTGAGTCTTAACTGATCCTTATTTCCATCTTTCTTTAGTAACTTCAGAGTGGTAATCTGAGAACTTATCTCAGGGAAATTCTGATCACCAACTTCATCTTTTATCTCTTTAAAGACTTTTTCTTCTTTAAAAACTCTTTTCCGTCTAATGACCATCTTTTTGTCATCTAAGAGCCACACCTTATACCCTTTAGTGCCTTCGGGAAATCCGGTGAA